AGTTCATCTTACTTTTGAAGACCGTTAAACATCACGTATGGGCCCCGCCTGAAATCCAACACGACCGCATCTACACGCAGGCATGTCAAAAAAACCAGTTGGATGAACCTGGGCCCTAACGGTACCCCTCGCCTTAACAAATACAACTATTAGGCAATTAGGATCCAGGGATCAAAGCCGCCGACTCTATTTATTTAAAAAAAAAGTACAGTTAGGCAAACTTTTACGTGAGTGTCATTGTCTCGGCATTTGCATAGACAACGTAATAAAATATTAAATTTTAGTACTATTTTTGTCGATGGCAGTTATTTTATAAAAAAAGGTGATAAAATTATGGTATAACTGTTATTGGTGTTTAGTTACGTAACGAATACGAGTATTTGTATTTTTTAAATAAGTGCTAGTTACCGAATATTATTAATATACTTTATGTTATATTTTTGAAATATTGTGCGTAACTTTAAAATTTGCCTGCAGTTAAACATAGATTATATGTAGGTATGACTGTATGTTGAAATATTATCTTAATGTCAATAAATGAGAATTAAATTTAGAATGCTTAAAGTTAATATACAATATATGTTGCAAATATTTAAAAAAATAAGTGTAAGCAATTTTTTTTTAGTTTTGTTATCCACCCTTTTGCTAACCTGTGCCTGTAAATATGAACTCAATGTTCACATCTGCCTACCTCTTCAGTGTACAGACGTAAATGTTGTAAGAGTACACACACACACACATACAACACTCACGCCTGTGTGTATAACATTTACAAGCACCACGGAGGGAGGACTGCTAGATGTACTACATTCACAGTTAATCCTGATTGTTACAATGTACGCTGAACTAGTTTTCTACTCCAAGCGCTATGTAAATATGCTACTACAGTATGACAAACCAAATTATCTTTAACTACTTCTTAGAGAAAGTTAAAATATCATCAAAATCATCACGATTTTTACCATAAATATTTGGAGTATACAACTCAATAGCAACTTTCTACGTCAAGACAATACGTCGCCAGCCGATATAACATCTATAAAGATAAGTCTAGCCTTGAGGTAGGTTCAAAACTGGAGTCTCGCAAGCAATCATCAAACGGACACAGCTCTATTGTCGTGAATCAGCACCGTGAAAATCGAAAACCAGTTTGCCCACCGACAAAATTCCGACTTTATTACCCACGGTCAAGGTTGCCTTTTGAATACCCGACTGTTGTAGCATACGACCTGTGTAGAATAAAGAACTGTTTATGCCACTGACACACTTCCGCGTGTGCACCGTTAGCCGGCCCGGTTTCGCATGCACCCGTTTCTTTCACTCTCGATGGTATCGTATATTTCGTCTCGCTCGGCGCGCGACAAATTTTCGATGCGGGCGCCGCGTGTAGGTTGGCCTAAAAATTAATTTCGTGATACGATTTTTTCAAGAATGTTTCGTTTGTGGTGGGGGGTGGTTTGTCGGTTAGTGTGTCGTGTGCTTTATGTTAAGTCGCCATGTCTAAATGCTTATACCAGGATTATATCTGGATTACGTATTTAAGAATTCAGTAGCAACTGTTTCTTTTCTCTAAGGTAGTGGCCTCAATCCTCAGGAATAGTCTAGGGTTTCCGCAATTAAGATTGGTATTCAGTAGCTTCTTAAGTACATATTACTTACCATGCCTTTTGTTTAAAGGTTTTCTTTGAAAGAAAATTTTCTCTCTGCCATAAACATAGTTTTAAGTTTACGAGTATTTAACACGGCAGAAGCTGGTGGTTGCGGATTATTTGTATTGTAGAATGTCTTTAAAATAACGAATTGGCTTTTTGGCGAATTGGATATTTTACGCGATGATATTTTAATATTAATATTTAATAAATATTCTTTAATACCCGAAGAATTGATTTAGACAGATTTCACACGGAGGAATGCGAAATTTTGAATACTTGAAGTCTATAAAAAGAAACGCCGAAAGCTTTAATGTTTAGACACTATATAGGGGAGAGTAACTAATATTGAACCGGCGCTTAAATTGGACTACTTTTGTATTTCTATCAAAATGGCACTATTATTTTAACACTAGCAACACAAAAAGGAGCACTAGCAGCGACACTAATACTCCGCCATTTTATAACGCTCTTTTTTGTGCCAATATACTATACCTATATATATAAATACAGAAGTAGTCCAATTTAAACGCCGGTTCAATATTGGTTACTGTCCCACCCACCACCACCAACAGCCTACAACAGTCCACAGCTGGACATAGGCCTCTCCTTAGAAAGGAGGTTTTGGCCTACTATACCACGCTGGCCACCCGGGTTGGTATAGGGTTTGTGTCAAGTTTTCCTTTTTTTTTGCAGTGCTAGTGTCCTGCGTTGTTTTGCGCCCTTAGTCGGCTCTTACGACACCCACGGGATGAATTGGGGTAGTGACGTTCCTTATTCTTAATCCGTCACTACACGAAACATGCCGTTGAGAGATAGATTGTCACTTGGAAAAGTACATATACTATTTAACTTCTGCATACAATAAAGCAACGTATAGCGTAATAGTTACTTTATTTCTAGACATTTTCAATACAAATAATTAAACCACTTTCAATCACATAAACATACAAATTACACACCCAAATATTATACAAAAAGTCACTCGGATCTCCTCAATTGACTTCTAAATCCGATATTTTCAAAGATCATTATGTTGAAGCAACTTTCACTCAAACGGCTCATCGGAGCGTATAATCTATGAAACTGTGACAATTTCTTCAGAATTGGGCCGTGGAGATGACAATTCGTCTGCAGAACGGGTAACGATAATGACAGCCGTCTACCAACGTGTGTGCCGGATTTGGCAACGGATTTATTGGTAAAATAGCCCCCTTTACCGGTAAAAAAAATCGTAGTTAAATGAATAAATGTAAGGTGAATTAGACTATAGGGAAGACAATAGTGTGTATATGTGTGTGTGCGTATGCATATTACAAGAAAGACATTTACTAAAAAAAGATTTTGGGCAAATTTGAAAGTTTACGCTACTGCAGTTTAATACTTTTTAATACCTTATATATTCTAAATTTTTGATGGATATTACTCATACATCACATCCGTGTTGTGACGCATTGAGAATACGGAGTGTCACCACCCCTATACATCCCGTGTGTGTCGTAAGAGCCAACTAAGGGAGCAAACTACACAGGACGAAAGCACTGCGAAGAGGAAGAAAACTTGACATACGCTTTTTTTACGTGTGGAAAGCTCCTCAAGCCGTCACACCACCGCGGTTTCGCGGCGGGTGGTGTGTCGTAATCGGAGCGGCTAAAACCACACGGTGTGCTACTCTGCGCCTGAGAAAGGAGGGAACCGGGAACTGCTGTTATTAAGACATTAGGACCCAAAGCGCGGGCACCACCTTCGACTGAATTCTCTATTTAGGCGACGTACGGCCAGCGTGGTATGGTAGGCCAAAACCTCCTTTCTAAGGAGAGGCTTAAGTCCAGCATAAAGGCTTTTGATGTTACACATACAAACTGTATATCTATACTGTATCTGTAATCATTTATCAACCAATCAATTATCAATAGTTGTATCAATGATTTTATAACGTACAACTTCTCATTTTTGTTGTTGTTGGTAGGTCTTATCATTTTTTTTTTGCGTTTTTTTAAAGACAACGCCCGTACTAGGAATAAATCCTGTGTCGCGGGGGACTTTACAAACATATATGAAACGGACACAAAGAACACCCAGACTCAGAACAACAATTTGTGGATCACACAAAGTGTTGTTCCATGTGGGGATCGGATCTACAAAACTCAGCGCAGTAGTAAGCGGCGAGGTGACCGCTCAAACCACTACGTTATACGTGCAGTTTTCCCCGACTACCGTCCCATTTTACTAAATCACTTCCACAAACTGCTAAAACACGTGTCTCAAATCTAAGTCTAGATTTAAGAATCACATACTAACCAAACAATTTTGAACAAGAACAAGCCAAAACAATTCTTTTAGACATTTAAATAATGGTATTAAGTTTATACTCGTCCAACCACTTTTCCTTTTTTTCGTGTAATTATTTTTCATGGAATTTTTGTACAGGAATGCGAGTATACTCAGCTATAACGCATTTAGAAGAGTCTCTAAAAAAATGTCAGTGTTCTACATACATATGTTTATCCGAATACTACGCAAATTTTTATATATGTTGAATGTACCTCTATAATTGATAATGGCTTAAAGTAATTAAGTATTGTTTGTAGGTTAATTACCGTTGTATTGATAGGCAATAACAATTTCAGTTCAAACGGAACCCCAGTTCCTACCAACATCCTACTCTAATTCAATTCCTTTTAATGTTTGCTACATTATTACTTTTATAATTATTAAATATGAATAGTTATGTTTTCTCAAAGGTACTACCGATTCTAATTAACCTAGAAGAAACTGGAGTTCTCTCATATCGTTACGTCGGTGATGTCTTACTAGTTTCGAGCTCGAAAGGAGTTCTTTAGTGACCTGTTGTCGGTGTCAGGAGCTTCAAAACAGTCCTACCTTAGTGTTTTCTTAGTTAGTCGGGTATCCCTGTGTGTGACCGTTTAGCCTAACTATACTATTACAATCCGAAAGTGAGTCCACTTGTTTATTTGTGTAATTAATCGGGATCTTAGTGTGTGTAAAGACGGGTTAGTTACACACCATTTTTTTGTGATCTCTCCACCGGGAACAGCAGAATAACCATTAATATATTTTAAAATTGTTTTTCTCATACATTGTGTATGACACCTAATATGGATGAAGATCAAAGCTGTGACTAAAAATGCAGATAAAACTGCGAGGTAGTACCAGGCTTCCCATGAGCCCTTTTCCCACACTCGGTTGGGGTCTGCTTTGAGTCTACTACGATTCGGCTGAACTACCATTTTTACGCGGAGTGACTTCCATTAGATCTCCACAACCCAAGTACTAGGTGATATCGAATAATCTATGAAACTGTGACAATTTCTTCAGAAGGCCGTGGAGATGACAATCCGTCTACAGAACGGGTAACGATAATGACCGCCATCAACCGACTTGTGTGCCGGATTTGGCAACGGGTTTATTGGTAAAATAGCACCCTTTACCGGTAAAAAAAAATCGTAGTTAAATGAATAAAGAAAGGTGAATTAGGCTATAGGAAAGACAATAGTGTGGACGCCGTATGCATGTTACAAAAAAGACTTACTATCGGAAGACTCTAGTCGGACTTTTTATCTTTCCTACTTCCCGTAACAATTGCCACAGATGTTCATATGGAAACTAGGGAAGTACCATTAAAATATAAAATAAGTTACGATAAAAATTACAGACAATTAAATCGTAAAACTAATAGTTATTCACAAAAGTCACGTTCGATCGTTCGATATGCAACAGCGTTGGTAATTCATTTTTTTTCGTATCGGCAGGTTGCAACAGCGGTCGATACGGCCGGTCGATCGCAATAAATTCTATTCACTTTTTGATGTTTTGCGAAAAAGCATACCAAGGCCACGCTCTTGGCAGCCGAGACAAATCTATATTTTAATAGTTTTTTTTACTCTGTATTGCAACTCGTTGCGTGCGGCCATTGGTCAACTAGGTGCGTGTTGTCATAGGTTCGATTTTTTTGTTGTTATGAAAATACTTTTTAAGAAATAGTCGGTACTTTTCAAAGATTGTATGTCAACACACAATCTTTGACTGATAATATAAAGTATTACAGTATCACGAAAACCGGTTAACCATTTTTTCACTTCCTTTCACCGAGGAAGTGAAATTAACAGAGGCCTAACCGCCAAATTATGGGTATTATTCTCAAAGGGTGTGTGTTCTTCATAGCGTGTGTGTTACTTACCAACCGACCCGTCTGGTCGACTCTGGTGACGTCTGGTTCTCCACTGTCATCATCATCATCAACCTATCGCATTCCACTGCTGGACATAGGCCTCTCCCATTATATACCATAATAAAATCATCATCATCATTTTTTTTCAAAGTATTTCAGAAATAAATAAAAATAAACATGCAATAACAACAAGAACACCAGCCTTTAATAGTCCACTGCTAGACATAGGTCTCTCCTTAGAAAGGAGGTTTTGGCCTACTATACCACGCTGGCCAGAAAATAAACATACTTAAACATTATCAAATTAATCTAATAATACATATGTTAATTTAATTAAATGACGCTTCAACATTAATCTGCTTGACGATAACCCGCATAAGTGTGTAACGATTTCAGTTGCGCGGGCGCATCAACACGGTCACGTATCGCGGCTGCCTTCGATAATTGTGGCCGTGGAAGGCGCTATCTTTAACTACATTGCATTTTCTGTATCAGAATGTGTGTTTTAATATTATGAAGACCATTTGTGTTAGCTGGGCCATCATTTTCAGCGTAATTTACGTATGATTTTTATGTGTGCAATAAACTTGTATAAACCCTAAATCAGATTATTGTGTGAGAGTCATATTTTTGTTGATTTTTTAAATATTTTTTTTTTAAAGTTATTTTTATAATTTTATAAAACTAAGTACCTACAGACATACCTAATACACATAATTAAAAAAAAATATTTTTTTTTTAATTTGACTGCACGAATGGCGTAGTGGTTGAAGCGGTCGCCACGCCGCTTCCTACTACACCGAGTGTTGTGGGTTCAAACCCCACATGAGACGACACTTTGTGTGATCCACAAATTGTTGTTCTGACTCTGGGTGTTCTTCGTGTTCGTTTCATGTATGTTTGTAAAGTGTAAAGATACGTAGTGCGGGAGTTGTCTTTTAAAAAAGAAAAAATATACATATTAATAACTTTTTTACTTAACTTATATAACTATTAGATCTCATTATGTATGTATGTATATACATGTATGTATGTAAAATATTATAAATAAATTACACCCGCACAGAAAAAAATATCGTGCTCATTACCCAATTTTTTGTAATGGGTGGGAACCGAACCCACGACCTTTGTCCTGGCAGTTAGTATCACTAACCACTATCCAACAGGCCAATATGTTCTTATTTTCACATATTACCGGAAAGTTTATTCATTTTAACTTGATACACAGCTAACTTAGATCAACTTTAACCTACACGTAACAGTATTAAACAAGAAACGTATATTGATAACGACCACAGTTCGTTTCCTATCAGAATATTTAAACATACCTCAACATTCAAAGGAAACTCTTCATCAAAAGTTAATAAAAAAACTTGAGAATGCCGGCGCAAACAAGGTGACGTGGCTGTAAGCGCAGCACTGTTAGCTGGTGAAGCGTGGCGCCCATACACTGATTACTTATAGCTGGGTCTGTATCTTGCGCGTCAGTTCTGCCTTATTTACTTAAATGTTAAAAATAAAAATAATATTCTACCACATTCACAGAACGCCATCTAGTCCCAAACTAAGCAGACTATGGGTACTAGACAACTGATATAAATACATAAATACTTTTTTTTTGTAAATACATACATATTATACATAGAAACACCCAGACCAAAAAAAAACATTAAATTTTCATGCACACAAATGTTTGACTTGAGCGGGAATCGAACCCGCGACCTTTGGAATAGCAGTAAGTTACACAAACGACTACGCCATTCGGTCGTCCAGCAAAATTCATACCAGCAAAATCCTTCTATAACGTGCTTAGAGACCTTGGATTGCCAAGAGCTTCAGTAAGCTCTTTCTTTAATGAAAATCCAAAGCGGCATTACTAGGCTCGTATCAAATATGGTTAGGTAGAGGGGGTAACATAGCAGTCAGTGGAGGTGAGCGCTGACGCGTCCCAGGTCCGAAGTCGCATGTGTTGCCAGCATCTATCACGCGTCGGAGCCGGCAACCGGAAGGTGCATCCAGGGATCGCTAAGAAATAGGTATTTTCACCTGCAATGCTCCGTACGGATACGACCTCCAAACCTTCCAGCAAAGAGCGAACTAATGCCTTAAAATTAAAATGTCTATAGGCAGCCATAGTCACTTACCATCGACGATCCTTCCACTATGTTATAAAAATCGATGTTCGGACATGTCTCAAACCGTTATAATAATAACTTCACACATTTCACAAACGCCCATCTGGTCTGACTTTGTACTGCAGTAACCAGACTCCTGATAAACATACTTATATATTACTAAATACATACATATTACAGATAAGATACATCTTACGAGTATATCATGGAGAGTGCTCTGAGGAGTTGTTCGGACTAATACCAGCCAACTTTCCGCCATCGTTCCATACGGCAAAAATGTCATACTCATTACCTGGATAGTTGGCGCTCCACTACTGTGCACTTTTCTAGACACTTTTTGCCCCGCACAACCAATCTGTTGAACGAGTTATCGTCTGCGGTATTTCCGGACCGATACGACCTTCAAACCTTCAAGACAAGAGCGTACTCCTTCCTAAAAGGCCGGCAACGCCTTTGTGACTCCTGAGTTGCAGACGTTCATGGTCGGCGATGGTCACTTTCCATCAGGTGACCCGTCTGCTCGTCTGTCCCCTCTAACATAAAACATCCAGACGCAGAGTATTTTATATATCACTCGATTATTCGTAAGGCCCAGGATCCAGGATCATCAAACCAACAAGGCACTCAGGTTGAAGATAATATTAGAATATATGCCTTACCTATAACGCTGTGTCCACAACCGATGATGATGAAGAGTTACTAGATGAAAAATTATCACTACACCCTGAGAGTAAGACATGATGAGTTATATACTAGAAAGGGTTCTCATACCCTACGCTTACAATACCTTTTCTAAATAGTAATTGAAAAATGGACACATTCTGTTTTCCTACACAATAGAACTATATATTTTTAGTTCAATTATTAAAAAAAACATACTGTTAAACTATTTTGTTAAACTAATTCTATTAGATTTGTTTATGTGAGTTTATATTTCAAGGATACACTATTACATTAAAGAGAATTAACTATGTACAAACTTTATAGTACTAATATCTAAATACAATGTATATTAATATTTGCACTGAGCGGACATAGAAACCGCGAATTACGCACGTGGCAAGCGTATGCACTACTAGGTAGTCAACTTAACCGACATGTTTTAATTTTCCAACAAGTTCTACTGGGCGAGTTCACAGGAAATAATAATAATAACTTGGGACATCTCACACAAAGCAAACTGATTCCAAACTAGGCAGAGCCTGTACTATGATACCCAAACTGCTGATAAGCATTCTGATATATATTTCTAATTCATATCACAGATAAATTACACTTTTTTTTTCCGTGCGGAAATCCCCTCGGATACCACCTGTCGGTGGCATGTCGGACTCGAACCGAATAAAACCGCACGCTGTCTCGGGTACTAATAGCCGGGGAACCAGGTATACCCTAGAAAGGAAGTCCCTGGTGTAGATAAATTACACCTAGATGCAGAACAAATGATCATGCTTATCACACAAAATTTGTCCTGGGTGGGAATCGAACCCACGCTTCTGGGTTAGCAGTCAGGACCACTAGACCAACAGACCAGTCTAAGGCCAGATAATGTTTTAATATATTATATTCTAAGTCATTGTACCTAACATATAGTTTAAAAATATCTAATAAGATAGATAAGAAATAGGCGCTAGTCTTTATGTTCTGCATCACCTGGGATGTTGGACAGTTTAATATGTACTACTATAAATTAATTAAATTATATTCTAATTAATTAAATTCTACTTTATAAGCTCTATAAATCTTAGGTTTACTTTATAATTGCAAATGCTAACTTTCTATAACCCAGTTAAACAGTAATTTATACTTAAAGTGAAATGTATCCTACATTTTATTCATAATTTTATCTCTTTGTTACAGATTGCCCACCAGGGTGGCGGCATCCAAGTATGGCGGTGGCGGGCTCACCCTGGGCTCCGGAGTCACGGTGAGGCGCGGCATGAAGTGCGCGGGGGTCGCGGGCGGCGCCGCGCCCAGCGACGAGTTGCTGCTCGGTGGCTGCTGGCTCGACCCCAAGCTCGACCACTCATCCCCTCCCCCCACCTGCCACGAGCTCCTCGACTCGCTCCTCGCTCCAACACCTCTCGCCGAACTTAAACCCTTACCCCCTTTCACCGGTTACACCGGACACCTATCTATTAATGGCATCTCCGGCCACCACTACCATGCCATTGCTCAACGTCTTCCTGAGGAGAATAACAACTACCCCACTCAAAGCGGCTATGGTGCCGATCACGACGTCGTGTCATCCTCGACGTGCCCGGCTGATGCTGAACCACCAGATCTCGAAGATGTGAAACCTTTCTTAGATGCACCTGATACAAAACCCTTCGCAGAAACGTCGGGCCCCGATGCTGCAGACTCCTGTGTGGCATCATGCTCACCTCCGGCTAAGACGTACGAAGACGGGCATAAGCAACATATGTACGACTGCTCAATAGAGGATATAGCAGCAATAATCGGTTCTGCAATGGCTGACACAACAGTCCCATCGCAACCTGAAGACCCAGAAAGGAATGACTCCAGAGATAGTTGGATGGACATCGACGCATGGATCACAGGCGCTTGCAGTCAACCTGGCGAAAAAATCGTACCCCAAGATCTTGAATTTGATGTACCCAGTTCCCCGCCTTCAGCACCCTCTAATCATACGTCGAGTCTCGATTTTCCTTGCAAAGGGCAGGAGTTTACGAAGAGCCAAGAATTTCATTTGAAAAATCTCGGACAAGCGGGGCCCACGCTACAGTCGTTATTGACACATGGGTACATGCCTCTCTTACAAAACCGTTTGCAGAACGGACCTCCCGTGAAACAAGAGGCCCCGAGCTCGACCAGTTACGGGATGGACGTAATATCGACGTCTTCTCCTCCTGGTAACGCTGTGTCCACTACTGATGGCGTTGGTGGATTGCTTAATGGCCGATACGCACCGCATTACACCCTGGGCTTGAAACCCGATGGCTTGTGCAGTCCAGAAAGACTGCTATACTCCCATGCACACACAACCACTTCCACACCAGTAAGTAAGCCAAAACGTAGTAGAGTTAAGGCGAAACAGACGAACAATGGCGGGCACTTGCATGGAAGTTCGCTGGCGTTCCCTTCAGCAACAGCAGCAGAGTTGAGTGGACTGCTCGGGAAGGAGAAGCCGGTTCACCGGTGTGGGATATGCAATAGAGGATTCTTGAACAAATCAAATATTAAGGTACATTTGAGGACGCATACGGGAGAAAAGCCGTTTAGATGCGACGTGTGCGCGAAGGCGTTCCGTCAGAAGGCGCATCTTATCAAGCACCAACAGATCCACAAGCGGATCGGACGGGACTAGCAGAGGTGTAGGTTCTAGCTCAAAAAGCATTTCTGTAGTTTGTAAATTTGTGTTTATGACATCGATCAGTGTCAGTGAGCGTGGATACAGTGCGCGCTGAATCTCAATTTAGGCTTTTGTAAATTTATTTGGTTAGGTACGGTCACATCACAGTGTTGAGGTCGACTTTAGAACATTGGATCAAAATTGCTGTATCAGTTCGACACAATGTCTCGATAAGGCTTTTTTAGTCTTATAATATAGTTATGTGCGATCGAGAGTAAGTAATAGTAATCTAACCCATTAGTATAACATTCCTAAGGACGTGTGCAATGTTAACTAGTTTTAAGCGATATATATTCTTTGTATAATATCACTAGATGTAAGTTCTAAATGTTCTAAGATTCTGTTCCGTTCTTGTCTCAGTTTTCAATGAGCTATCCGTCTCTTTAGTTAAGTTTTATCTTTTTATTATTTTGTTTATAATTACTTGTTGTCTTAAAAACTTGTGACACTTACATCGTAAATATATGAACGGATAAAATATGAACGAAACATTAGATATATGTGTAATATAGGAACGTTTATTTAATTGTATGTGAATGGTTACTCCGATTACCTACTGTTAGTCAAAATGTTTTAGTAATTTTCTTTTATATATACATTATATATAAATAGGTACTTTTTAGTTATACAAATGCGAAATGACAAAGCGCACGAGGCTAACACAGCACTGCCAATTTAAACTTTGTATAAAATACTCTTATAAATATAAGAATGAAGAGAGATTTTGAATAAGTTGGTCGTAAAGTTAAGATTATTTTATATTTTTCTCATGTATCACAGCTATACCTAAGTTATTTATTATTTACGGCTCTCAGCACACATAACGTTCTGCTCTAAGAAACGAGTATTAACAATAACATACCTCAGTGTCAAGCAATAGTCACAAAAGTAAATAAATAAAAATCTTTGCGACTTATGTACGTTTTCTATTCTTATTATTTTTTACTTTTTTCATGTAACTTGCAAAGGTTTTTACTTTTATTCCTACAAGATCATCGATCGCTCTGATTTATGTCTTACGTGACAACCCTACTGTACAACATTTAATTCATCGTAATATCACCATCAGTTAAAATTCCTTTCTAAAATCGTGTTCAAATAATATTTTATCATTAACCTATCACTAAACATATCACAATCATTTACATTAATAATTTTGTTCATTTATTTTCATCATCAAAGCGATTCCCACAATTCTTTATCATGACCTTGATTTCTCTTTTCCCAGTTAATCAGTAAAGTTACTGATATTACAAAACCAAAAGTACCCAATTTAAAAAAAAAACATAATTTTTACCAATGGAGAATGATTTTTGTCGGTAAATATTAAAAAAAGTTATTGGCGGATCATCAGCCAATCAACTCATTGGACGTACAATACGAGGTGCGCAAACGCACGCGAACGGAACTCTAAACGTCCGGGAAGCGAACGGAAAAAAAATTAAATTCATACTAATAATACCGATCCGTTGTTGCGCAAGAATTTATTTGTTGCAAGTTTGTAATTAGTATTACAGCATATTTACACTTCAAGGATCATAATTCCAACGTCAGCTATTAGAATCCTACTAAGTTTATAAATAAAATATACTGCATATGGGTCGCTTCGACGGGAGTGATACCACGAGCTCACAGACTGAGTGAGGTTTCCGGATATTCAACTTCCCTTAAGGACGTTATAGAATTTTCTCTTGTGACAAGGTCGATGATACTTTGGGTAAAAATAGTATGAAGTTTTTTAATTTTTTTCAAATTGTGTTTCTATCACCTAGCACTTAATCTAAAGTACTATTCATTCATCACTAATTAATTTAATTCACTTTATTAGTAATCATCACAATTTCAAGACTGTATAAAATAAAGCTTCGTTTACACTATACATTCCAGAAACGTTGATGTCTAATACTAAGATATTTCATTTTCTGTGATGTACGGGATATAATTCCCGGACATTCATTAGGTGCCTACTATCGTAGGATAATTGTGACTGTTCGGCGTTAAAACGCTTGTCGTATAGGCTTGGCGAGAAAACGCGCGGGCGAAACGCTTGAAAGTGGCTAATAAATTCAGAAAATTGATTACATAAATGTGGATATTCTTAAGTATATTCGTAAAGGATTTACGGTTTTTCCTTGATAAAGTACAGCTGTTGAGCTGTTGGTTTACCTTATTACCGGAGTGAGAATTTTAGGTTAGACATATTTCATATCATTTAGTCGTATTGCATTTCTGGGAAGAACAATTCAAGTAAATAATAATTTAATGTCAAGAAGACAGAAGCTTTAAAAAGAAATACCTATTTAATATATATATCTTTTCAAATACATTTTAATGCCAAATCATGACACTTAAATATATATTTACTCGAGTCAGTTTAAACTATTGAATTAAATGTTGAATCATTAAGTGAACAGACATTTTTACAGGCCCGTTATAATATGAAAGCAAATAATAAACATTTTTATTGTTGTTTAGTTATTTACTTTCACTAATAAACTAACATTATTTACTAAATTGTCTATTCAAAAGCTTGAAATGACAATCGATATTCTTTTTATATTTTATCGACTTTCCAAAATCTAGTTTCCTTGTGAAAATGAAATGTTAACAATTTGCCCGCGTTTCGCCCGCTGCGTTTCAACACCGCGTGAACATAGAACTTAAATAAAGTACCTTTTTGTTAGCATATAAAACGATAGCCTTAAGTATTTATTTTTGAATATAATTTTTGTAATTATTAATTAAATGTAAAGCATTAATGTTGAAGAAAACATAATTATCCGTAATTATAAGTGGCGAATGTTAATTTTCAAGAGGTTTTTTTTCCATTAGGTTTATAAATAATTGTAAATTAATGTAAAATAAATGAAGATTTTTTTGTTAACCTTTTCCTTTTGTTTTTTATTTTGAGTGTTTTATACCTTTTCAAACGGTAAGTATTGCTGAGACTGCTGTGATTGTTCATCACAGCAGTCTCAGCAATAATTTTAAAATTTTCTAAAGCAGCAATAATTTTAAAGCAATAATTTTCTAAAAAATACACAGAGCCACAAGTGGGTCACATTAGACATCTATAGTTCAAACAAAGGTGTGAACATACGAAGTGAAAGATCCAACCGAAGATCAGTTCACACAACGCACGTAATGTTCGCAGCGTCTCGGAAGAAAGTCGGATGTGAAAATTGTCATAATGCACACACAAACGACAAATTGCCATTTCGCGTCAACAAGTACTCTTGCGCAGGGCACACAAGAGAAATTACACACACCTAGAAAAAACCCGTGCGAATAACACAAACACTATAATGCAATGTCAACGTGTCGTCGAGACTCCTCACTCGCACATAAGTAAAATACGGTTAGCAAAAAAGTCTCTTACGAAATTTTATTTAATTAGTTTTTTTGCAACTTAATGAATTTGTTAGTGCCGGTTGTGTAGCTAATCGATATTTTATATAATGGATTTTGAAATCCTAAATTGCTTGCCTGTTGTGTGACAAAACCATAATGAAAGAACGCTTAACGTTTTTGAGATACATTGAATAGATTTATGCGAAAGCTTTAATGATATAAGACATGCTCTACATGTCATTCAGTTTATGATTTTTAATTATCTCAAACACATTTTAAATTAAATTATATGAAAAATTTAATAATACTTAATCATAAAAGTTTATGTTGTGTATAGTGATTCTAAAGATTCAAAGAAGTTACTAGAAACCTTTATTACTCTGATACCGTTTACAACGATAACGTCCTAATAAAATATGCAATTAAATGTCTAATTTATTTTGAATTCTTCAGATGGTCATTCATCATGATGTTTTTTTGTTAAAAAAAAAATAAAAACATATATATATTTATTGAAATTTCAAGGCCGCGTCGTTGCTGACGCTACAAGTGAGCGCTGGAGAGATTCTTTCACCAACCCACTTACATAGCGAGGCTTGATTTCACCGCCGCCGCCAGCAAGCTACTGCTATGTATGCGAACAGTACGGACTTCAGACAATTTTATAGGTTTAGTGGCACATCACGTTCATGTCGCATGTTCAATGTTTCTGACACTACTTTTTTTTTTAATTTATCAAAATAATTCAAAAAATAATAGACTGTGTAAAAATAAAAACCATGTAACTTAATAAATGGCATACACATATTGGATTTGTTTTTAAGTAGCGGCTAGTGACTTTGCAGTAAAACAGGGCAGTAAGCACCCCTGAGTCAGCAGACAGTCAGCAATCGGACTACAATATCTTCTACGTCATTAAGGATGCAACGAAAATAGCAAATAATATACTGAATACATTTTCATATTATTTATTGCTCTCAAAACACACAAGTCTTGGAAATTTTATTAAAGAACTTAACCCAGATAAGCCAAGCCTACTGCTGCAATGAACTTTTAGATATACTTTTCAATGAAAGAATTTATAAAATGGATAATATTTTATAACTGCAACTTTTAAATTTTTATTTCAATAGCACATTAGCTTGTAACTACAAATCCATTAAATATATTCTGTTAAAATGTGCGTAAATTAAAATATTTTTTTATTTCTACCGTCCTAAATATGGGACAGCAGGCTTATCTGGGTTAATACTCTGCCTAATTTAGAATCAGACTGCCGTGTGTGAGAGAGATGTGTTCAGTTATTATTCATATTATTTAAGGAAAAACGCACCACTTCGCTTTTTTTTAAATAGGGCACTGATGAGAAGCAATAAAACAAGGGCACTTTAAATTGTACCAACAAAAGTCTGAAGTTCAAACACGTAGTGGTCCCACATTTACAAATGCGCCGTGTGCATTGTTTACAACACGCGACGTGAATTCTGCATCACGACTGAACGAGATATTGACGACCTCACGTAGTTAAGGGGGACCTCTTGTCAGCCAATGTGTACTACATACAATTAACATATCTTAAGAAATAGAATTAGTTTAAGATATTC